CTTGTCTTGAATGACTTTACTCTCTTCTGTTCTGTTTGATAGTATCTAGTTTGAGGTCATAGGCAACTACTTTGAAGACAAAAAGATTCACTATGATGCCCATTCTAGTTTGACTATTATTGTCTTTTCAATTTCTGTAATGTTTTGAATGTTTAGATTTTATTGGTTTTGTTCCATACTGTTTGTTCAATTTTATTATAACTGATGATACAGGTAATTCTTTTCAAGATAGCAAGAGGCATTATGGTAAACATTGCTGATTACCTTGTATTCTGTTTTTACATCATGTACTATGTCCATCCTTTGTTTTGACAGACTCTGCTCTGTTTTGTCACATTTGGTTTTATTATCTTCCAAAAAACGTAGTAAGAACTGTGGAAGTAATAAAACCCAAAATGTGTAAATGATATTGTAAAAAACAGAAAAGAAATTGCTCTAAAGGATATAACTGCAAGTGTGTTTAGATGTGTAAGATAGATGACCATATTAGTAAGTTTTTGTTGGATCATTGAACACAACTGCAGTCTCCCTGTTTGAATGTCCACTTTGTATGCTTTAATCCTGTAACATGAAAAACTACTTCTAAGATGACAATATATAACCTATGAACTAGTAATTTCTTAATGCTTATTTTTTTTGAAATTTTGTATTACTTGTAGCCTTTTACTCTTTTTTTATTTAAATAAAATTTAAAAAAAATTTCCAAACCATACTGATGTAACCTGCAAAAGTGCCTTTCAAAATCAATGGAGAAATAAGATATTTCTATGGCAAAGAGTAACTGAATAAATTCATTATCACCAAACTAACATTACAAAGAGAACTGAAAGATACTCTAAAAAGAGACAAAGATGCCAGCAATTCCAAGACAAACAGCAAAAGGAAACCTTCAAGTAGGGCAATCATTTAAATAGAGAGAAAAATTAGAGAAATAACAACAGCAAGATGCATGACAAATATATTTTTGACTACATCAGCTATATCCATCAATGTAAATGGCCTCAGCTCACCAATAAAAAGACACAGACTGGCAGCAAGGATTAAGAAACAAAATCCAACAATATACTGGATATAAAAACACATTTAACTCAAAAGCAAATTGAGGAGTGAAAGTCAAAGATGCAAAACACTACTCTATGTGATAGGAATCCAGAAAATAGTTGGGATAGTTATTCTGTTTGCAGACAATGTGACCTTCAAATCAAGAATGATCAAAAGAGATAAAGAAGTTCACTACATACTTGTTATAGGAAAACTGCGAGAGGAAGAGATTACAATAATAAATGTACATGCATCAAATTTGTGAGAACCCAAAGACAAATATTAACAGATATGAGAAATCAAATAAGCAATAATACAGTTATAACAGGGGAATCTCAACATGCCATTTTCCCAAAGATACAGATCAACCAAACATAAAATCATCAAAAAAATAATACAATTGAATCAAATTTGTGAACTAATGGATCTAGAATATGTGTGCAGTGTGTTCTATTCAACATCAGAATGCACATACTTCTTGGCTTCGTGTGAGTCATTCTCCAAAATGTCTCATATACTAGCCCACAGAACACACTTAGGTAAATGCAAAGGAATTGGAACAGTCCCATGCATATTATCTGACCATAGCATAATAAAATTGGAATTTTATAATCAAAAACCCCATAAGAATCCCAAAAACACATGGAAATTAAATAACACCCTCCTAAACAACCAAGGGGTGACAGTAAAAATTTTAAAAAAATAGTATCTACAGTCAAATGAACATGCAAATCCAGCTTTATCAGAAGCTATGGGACAAAATTAGTGCAATTCTCAGAGCGAATTTTCCACATAAGGAAAATAGAATGAAAACAAATAACCGAATGCTAAACCACAAAATTCTACAAAAGGAAGACTAAGACAAACCCAAAGCCCAAAGAATGAGGAAATTTTAAAGGTCAGAGCAGAAACAATGTGATTGAAACTAAGAAAACAATACAAAGAATTAATGAATCAAAGAACTGGTTTTTGAATGGATAAGTAAAATTGATAAAACCTAGCCAATCTTACAAAAAGAGGAAAGAAAAACTCAAATACATGTAATAAGGAACAAAAAGGGTGAAATCACTACAGACTGCAGAAATACAGAAGACCATCAATATTTACTTGAAAAACCTTTACTCTCAATAGGTTCAATAACACAGAACAAATGGACAAATTCCTAGAAGTACACGAATTAACAAAGCTGAATCATAAGAGGTAAAACTGCTGAATAATCCAATTTCAGTTAACTAAAATGAAAATTTAATCAGAATCTTACACACAAAGATAAGCCCATGTCCTAATGGATTCACTGCTGAATTATACAAGAAGAAGGAAGACTTAATACCAACACTCCCCAAACTCTTAAATGAAATTGAAAGTGAGGCAAGTCTCCTTAACTCACTCTTAGAAGCAAGTATTACCCTAATAACAAAAACAGAGAAAGACTCATTCAAAAAAGAGAACTACAGGCCAATCTCCCTAATGAATATATTACAAAAATCCTCCATAACATACTGGCAAACAGAATGCAACAAGTCATGGAGAACATTATACATCCCATGAATGCAGGGATGGTTCAACAATGCACAAATCAATGAAAGTAATAAACCATATCAATAGTGTCAAAGGTAAGAATCACATGATCATTTCAATACATGCAGAAAAAAAACTTTGATAAAGTCCAACACTCATTTGTAATAAAAAAAAACCTACAGAAAATCAGAATAGAGGGTCTATACCTCAATCTAATAAAAGCCACCTATGAAAAACCAACAGCCAGCATCATATTTAATGGTCAAAAACTGAAACCTTTTACTCTCAAATCAGAAACAAGACATGGCTGTGCACTAGCATCAGTCTTATTCAAAATAGCATTAGAAAACTTATCCAGAGCAATCAGACAAGAGAGAGAAGTAAAAGGAGTAAGGATAAGACAGGAAGAAGTTAAACTATTGTTATTTACAGATGATATGCTACTCTACATAGAAGACACCCAAAACTCCATTGAAGTACTTATAGATGTAATAAATTCAGTAGTGTAGCTGGATACAAAATCAACACTCAAAAATCAATTGTATTACTATACACAAACGATAAAACTCACTAACAAAGAAATAAGGGAAATCACATCCTTCACTATAGCATCCAAAAAATGAAAGGACTTAATCTAACAAAAGAAGTAAAAGAGCTATACATTGAAAATTACAATACTTGGAAAAAGGAAATCAAATAGAATTTCAGGAAATGGAAAGACATGCCTTGTTCGTGGGCAGAAAGAACAAACATTTTGAAAATGTCTATTCTCCCAAAATTGTTATACAGATTTAATGCAATTCCAATCAAAATGCCATTAGCATAACGCACAGATCAAGAAAAATCATTCCTAAAACTCTTCTGGAACAAGAAGAGACCAAGAATAGAAAAGGCAATTCTGGGCAGCAAAGGCAAGGGAGGAGATATCATAATCCCTGACATCGTGAATTCGATCCCTAGTACCAGAAAAAACAAACAAACAAAAAAGTTAAAAAAAGAGGGATTACATCAAGCTTTTATAAGTAAATGGTGACTTGAGACCATACTCCTAAGTGAGACATATCAAACTAACATATGTAAATACTGTATTGTCTTCCTAGTAAAGAAATGGAAACAGCAAATAGGATCCAAATCTACAATAAATATTGTGCAATGGTACTGGGGTAGGGAAAAGGAGGAAAGAAGAAAGGGGAAAGGAAAAAGATATAAATTTGTGTGTCATATATCTTACATAATATATGTAAGATAATTATACTACTAATTCTGTTAGTTCTTGGAAAAAAAACAGATAATACTCATGATTAGATCAATTTTGCATGTCTATATTTGGTAATCTAAGCAACTATTTTTAAGATATCAATACATAATAAAATAATAACTATTGAATTCCTATCATCTTGTTTTAAAAGCTTATATTGTTATTGTTTTGCATTTGTTGTTGTTTTCTCTTTTGCTTTTTGCCTTTCTTTTCTGTGTTTTTATTTCTCTTAAGAAAATGAAAAGCCAGCACCAGCACCTATGCAGTATATCCACTGAGCAGTCTTTCTCAATATTAATATTAATACTAATGGCTAGTGATTACATTACATTTTTACAATTATATAAAATACATTTAAATGTTGATTAATGAAACTTTTTCCTACAAACCAAATAAAATAATATTTTATTCACTGAATGACTGCTACCTTTCTCTGCCTTAAAATTTTAAGATATACTCTTTTCGTTTTAAAAAAAATTTAATGCCAGTGTCAAAATTAGATAATAAGTTTAATGATGATAATTACTAATACATAAAATAGATAATGCTATGCTGTAAATAAGCTATCTCTTCTATGAAAATCCTATAAATCTGAGAATACCAAATTTTTAAAAAGTCTATACATGAATTAGCAGACTTACTCAATGTTTCTGCTTTCATAGCCTCTGAACATTTAAAGAAATCTGTAGTAAAATACATATTTCTTAATAAATTCAATACATGGCACTGAAATGTATGAAATTAAACAGCACTTTAGGTTATTTATAATTCGTTTCCTGGAAGATTTCATTATATGCTGGGAATATAGCTCAGAAGCACAGAACACGCTTGGCAATCACAAGGTTCTGAGCTCAAGCTCCAGTACCAAAAAAGCAAGAAAACAAAAAGATACATTAATTCTATTATGTGCTTCAACCCTTTTCTCTTTTCATCGCATATTCTCTAAAATAAAATATGGACAATATATTAACCACATATAACATGTAAATTATAAAAAAAATTCTAAATGTTACCCACACCTTTCCTGCTTCGAGGTAATCATCGTTATATGCAAAAAAAAAATTCATAGTAAATACAAAACAAATGGATTAAATTTAGCAGCAAATCCCTTGATTGCCAATGAATCAAGGTTTTTGTTCATTTTAATATAGTCATTTATTTACAAACTTTCTATTTGACTTACATTCCAGTCAATGTTTGCAAAAAATGATGTCTTTTGATTTCTTCAACACCATCTGAACCTATAAAAATAGAAAGAATTTTTTACTGATACTATTCTTTTTCAAATGTGCTGCCTGGTTTTTAGGCTTCATCTATAAATAGAACTACATATATCTCATATGCCCTTTGAAGTGAGATGTCTGTTATTTGTCTGCAGTTTTACCAATTGGTCCTTTTACTTTATTACCATCAAAAATTGATGTTCATTTTGATCTGCATGTAAATACTATGAAGTACTAAAGTGCCTCCAAACTCAAATAGAGCACATGTTACACAGAACATTCAAAGTACTTTGTTTTCTTCACAATTAAGCAAAGTATTTTATTTTCTTCACAATTTATTTTCTTCACAATTACATTTATGTGACAAATTAAAAACTGCAAATAATAAAGTGACACTGACATTGTAACATAAGGATATATGTTTGATGATAGGATCATATCTAAATCCAGAGAAGGGCTACTGGAAGTTGTCAAATAGTAAGTAGTTATAGGAACATAATAGTTACTTTGAAAAATATTAGGAAATGACAAAATATTTATCCTCAAATATCTAAAAGAATTATCAATATAGGATTAAATTATGTATATTACTTCAAAAGATATAATCTATGTTATACATGATCATACATGCTAAAGAATGGTTTAAACAGCTAAACTACTCCATTTCTTTGTTCCAGTACTGGGGATTGAAACTAGAGACTTCACACTGAACTAGGATGTATGATAGAAAAATAGTGTGCAATTAAATTTTTAACTATTACAGAAGACACATAATCATTAGCCTACCTCAAAATACTTTCTTTTGCTTCAAACACATATATTCCACCTTTCCTGATACTTCCTGAAGCTGTTCTGGAAGTCCTTTTTCATGAGTGTCTTTATTTATGTTGTCATGGATTTCTGGATTTCCTGAACCCAAAAACATTTTCCTTTCAAAGATATTTTGACTCGGTGGCAGAGTCAGAAGTCACATAGTGCTAGACGAATAAGGTGAGGACACAGTGTATGTTTTTAGAAGCCCCTTATAGTTGGATGTCACCATGCAACAACATTAACTGTTTTTTTTATCATACATATTAAAAAGAGGAAAGAAGGCTTGAAAAATTACCTCAGAATGTAGCACATTCATAGGATAACTGTGTGCAAAGGCACATGTGGCTATGTGTGGAGGGGGTGAATTTTGAGAGGGAGTAATGGCAAGCTGTACTTTACTGTAATAAAATATTTAAAAAATTAAATATTTATTGCATATTTTGATTGCCCCTTGTACATTTCCAATCATCTTTAAATTTTTATTTTGAATCAGCATCTCACTAAGTCACTAAGTTGCCAAGGCTCAATTCAAATTTGTGATCTTCTTGCCAAAGCCTTCAAAAGGAATGGAAGTAAAGAAGTACACCCCCATGATTGACTAGATTATTCCATTCTAAAAATCAGGTTCACAACAGTGTTGACTATTCCTGAACTACATATGCAAAATGTTTAATTCTAAGTACAGACATACAGCAACAGTAAGTGAACTTAAATTGAAAAACAATTATCCTCCCAAAATATTCAGTACCATTATAAGAAATAAGAAAAAAGAAAAAAGAAAAAAACCAATACCCAGTTTATTTGCTGGATTCCTTTTGAACAACATCCTTAGAAGACTTTCTGCTTCACCACTAAGAAATTGAGGCATTCCAAGTTTTTCTCTGTAAAAGGTCATTTTAGAAAGTTTCACTTAAATCTCACTACATTTTTCAGTTGACAAATCTCAAAGTGAACATTTAAAAGTTTTTTACATTGGAAATAATGTTCTCTGTATTGTAACAAAAGGGAACAAGACAGTATAAACTGTTCCTTTGTCTGAACTTACAACATTAAGTTTCTCAAAATGGATGAAAGAGATTTTTCCCAAAATAAAAATATAGTGTTTACACTTACTTTAATATCATATTCATGGTCTCATTTCTGTCTTTACCTTGAAATGGCAGAGTACCAGCAAACATTTCAAACTAAAAACAAAAAAGAAAAGAAAATAATCACAATTAGACACAACTTAAAGTGTATAATAAATTGGCTTAGAAAAAATGATACAAATAATACATGAATATCAAATCCTTTAAGGTTTAGATAAGAATGGGCTTAGTTGAAAGAGCTAACTATGTGAATTACAGAAATACACATTTACTGCCCTGTTCTGTATACATAGTTCAACTGATGGATGACATGTATCAGATAAAACCAATCATCTTTTTCAATTTAATTTGGCTAAGTCCACAAAGTAAAAGAACTTGAAAATACAAATCATTTTCTTTTAAAATAGAGATATGTTTTTAAATCAAGTTTTATGGAGGAAGGAAAAATTTGCAAAACAAGCATATTAAATTCGTACACATTCAAGAAAGATTTAGTCATTCTAATTGCCTTTTATGTTTCCAGTGTACAGAAAGCACAGCAAGAAGGAAAAGCAAAACGCACACATATAGATGCACTATGTATACTAACATCTGTGCAAAAATATTTGTGTAAAACACAAGGAAAATATTATCCAAAGGACAATAAATTGAGAACTAGATTATTAAACAGTGATATAAAACCTAAGTCTAACAATGAACATTATATGTAGTTCACTTAAAAGCTTTTGTATCCCTAATATTTACATTTCAATTTGGACTTTAATAATGGTTTTGTGTTTAAATGGCTCCACTTAAAATCTCAACTTATTTCCTGTATCCTGATGACTCCAAATCTGCTGTATCAGCTCTTTCTTTCCCAAACTGTAGTTTTGGAAATAGACAATAATTCATGACTGGGGCCTGGATTTGTAGAGATGATAGGGGCAAAAGCACAATAAAAAGAAAGATTGAATTTGGAAATCTTGTCTTCCTCTCAAAAATCAAATTAATTAGTTGAGTGGGGTATGAGTAGAAACAAATATGTATAGATGTACATTAAATAAACTCTTAAATAATTCTGATTTTCTCTACACTATCCTATGTAATTTATCAGCACGAAATTTTGAGCCACTAATGTGTAGCAACCTATGTGTTAAAAAATCATTTTCCTAACAGTTTCCATTTGCTTGATCATTTCTATTTATCTATTATTCTTTCAAATTGCTAAAGTTTATAAGTTTTAGAGGAACCTTTATCATCAACTAATCTGTTTCATTTTATCTGTGTCCTTTAATCTGCAACTAAGGTTAGTTATGTCTTCCTTTGAAATTTCTTTAATGTGGGGCTGGGGATTTAGCTCAGCAGCATAAGCACCTGCCTTGCAAGCAGGCAGTCATGAGTTAGATCCCCGTACTGATAAAATAAAAAAAGAAATTTCCTTAATGTTTCCTTTTTAAATAAATTTTTGGATACAACTACCTCAAAGACATTTTTTGTCTCTTTATTTCTAGTTTCTTTCATTTATAATCTATTTGAACAATTCTAATAAGTCTAATCTCCCTACAATATACTTTTTTTGAGTCATCATCCTATTTAAGAATCTGTACTGTTCAGAAAAAAATCACATGAAAATAATTATCGGTTTATAGCGTCAATTCATCCTTCAACCTCAACCTTCACCATTAGTTCCCCCAGCTTTTGCTAACATATGTCGACAATACTCTCCTTTTGCACACACAACTACAGAGCCTTCAAATACACACACACACACACACACACACACACACACGCACGCACACACGTACATATAGCCACACATATAAACAGAAACACATACAGTCTTCGGGAAAATAAAAATAGTATAAAGATTTTAGAAAAGATGGTGCTACCCATGTATGGAGAAGTTCTAGAGGATGTTGTGTATCATAAAAAGCCCACTACGCTGTTGGCCTTTATAGATGAGATTGAAAATGAATATGCAGCAATCTCAGCGACCAAGGTTACCTAAGCAGTCATTCAGCATAGTAATAAATGTCTAGAAGCTAATGACCAACACTTTGAGTTCATATTGTAATTGTTGAGGCCAGAGGTAATTTGTATTAATCTCATAAAGTCTCAATGAACTTAGTACTAAAATATTTATAAAAGCTTTTCTTTCCCAGGAGAGTGTACATATTTTTTGGTGCAATCTGTATTTAAATTTTATCTACCCTTCAGAACTTTAATTCCACCTCCTCTAATTTCCCTATAGAATTTCTGAAATCTTCTCTTAACACCTTAGTTAATTCTAAATAGTTTAGCTATCACATCGTTTTTCCAACAAAATTGTACCTGTTTTGAGGTTCAAAAAATGCCAGATGGTGTATTTTTCATAAGTTTCTGCTCCACTTTCTTGCAAAAAATGCTCACATTTTAATAAGCATTTAATAAATGGATGTATCACGCAGTTTCATTCCACAATAAGCAGATAAAATATATTATCAGATTTCAAAAGTAAAATACAGGGCCAGGGACATAGCTCATCAGCACAAGCACCTACCTAGCAAATGCAAGCTTGTAAGTTCAATTTCCAGTACACAAAAATAGAAAGAAAACAAAACACATCTGATTTAGCCAATTTTTTAAATCATCCTATGTACTACTACACATTCTATATTTATTCTCATACAAATCAGTCCATATTTAATAATCATCTGGTCATTATGCTAGCTAGTGACTGTAACAGATAAAAAATACATTTTTTTTACTTCAAGGGATTACACACTTTCTAGGTCACACTTGAAATAATTTGACAATAAGACAATATATGTTAAGGTGACAAATTTCATGACATCTAATTAAAATGTCTTATAATTACTAACTCAATATTCTGAAACCTAGAATGTACCAGACATTTTTCTAAGATTCAAGTACAAATTGTTTTTATAATGATGATGCAATTTATTTTTTCAGTAGACACTTTACAAACTTATAACTCTAAGACTGCAATTCTTACTATATATGATCGAGGCAAAGTATTAATTAAAATGCTAATAAGGCATTATAATAAGCCATTTCTTCCCTGGTACATTCCAAAATTTAAAATAAAAATTTTTGAATAAAAGTAATATTTGTTAGCATAATCACAAAAAAACCTACTACTTACCATAAGTACACCATATGACCATCAATCAGCACTCTGAGAATGACCTCTCCTATTTACTACCTCAGGAGCCATATACTCTACTGTACCACAAAATGAGTAGGCCTTCTTTTCTTGATATACTGACTCCTTGCTGAGTCCAAAATCTATAACAGCATTAAAAAATATATACTGAAAATCTTCAGGAAAGAGAAAATATTGAAAGAAATTAAACAATGTCTTATATATTAAAATAATTTATGTGTGGTCTCTACTTTTAAAGCTGCCACATCAATAACAAGAAGCAACCTATATTTCACATTAGTTCTCTTTAAGAGACATTAAAGACGACTCACTTAAATTTTATCCTCAAAATATATGCTCTGAGGTCTGTGCTAAAGTATTATGTAACAAATTCAATGAAATAGTAAGTTTAAGTTTCATATTAACTAAGTTTTAAAACAGAATATGTAGGGCCAGGGATATAGATAGCTCAGTGGTATAAGCTCCTGACTGGCAAGCACAAGGTCCTGCATTCAATCCCCAGTACCCACCCACCCACCAAAAACATTAAAATACAATATGAAAAAAAGAAAGCTAGTAATTCAGTTTTAAAATACAATATTCTGACAGTTGTGCTATGCATACATGTAATCCCAATTACACAAAAGGCTGAAGCAAGAGAGTTGAGTGTTTAAAACTGGCCTAGAAGGACTTCCAGGAAGATGGTGGAATAATAATTAGCATAGAAACCAGTCCCTCTGAGAGAAACAGTCGAGATGCTGGAATATAGCATCCTGAAGAAGATAAGAAGGAAGAAAGTAGGTCCTCTTGACCCAAGAAAAGCCTAAAGTGAGAATTGAAGCCCAAAGAGAGTAAAAACAGAAAAACTTAAAGAAAAAGACAACAGCTGGAAGCACCTTTACCTGGAGCTGGACCCAACATGTAAGAAGAGCTGTTGAAACCTAGGGACGTATGATCACAGTGATGGTGGTGGCTGGCAAAGCCAAAGGCCTTTGCAAAGAGTCACGGTGGCAGAGAGGAGCAGCAGACTTGGACAACTAACTGCACTGGCTGGCAATGTGTGTAGAGGACTCAGTGCTTCCATGGGAGAAGGTGAATGGGCGGGAGCCATTTTGGAGTTTGACAGGATGAGCCCGGAACCAGAACGGCAGCCACATTCCTTCAACCTCTTCTAGTTGGGAGAAAACTGGTGGAAATTGCTTGGACTGAGTCCTGCCGCTGTGTTTCAACAGCCATTTCTGAGGTTTCCCTAAATCTATGCCCAACCAGCTCCACACATTGTGATTACTCTATGGGGTGGGGACTCCCTGCTGTTATCAGGTGCCAGAGGGTGGCAGCAGCCTGCCCCACCCCTGCTTGCACTACAACAGCCACCAAGGAGACAAGGTAGGTGGAAAAAGGAGCAGAGAGCCCTACACCAGTGCACTAAATAGTCACCATCAGATATCCATAGCCAGCACAGGCTAGAAAAACCAGTCTTGCTTCAGAGAAATTATAGCCAACACAGGAAGTGCCAGGGACCCCACTACCCACTTGTTTGGAAGAAAACAGGAATATGACAAGAGGAAGAACCAATAGGCAGTCTCTGGCCTCCAACCCAAGAAGTTCTGGTCCAGGAGATGTAAACATGGAACAGATGGGGAGTCGCACATCTGATGTTTATGATGTAAAGGTAACTGAAGTAAAGAAACAACTTCATGGGGCTATAAAAGAAATTAGAACAGAAATACTATCTCAGGTAGAAGAAGAAATGAGAAACAAAAGAATTGCAAAGCACCTCTAAAGAAGACATAGATGGAAGAATAGAGAAGCATAGGAAAATGAGGGAGATCTTGAATGAGGAATATAAAAAGCACATAGAATACATAAAACAGATTCATTTACATTACCAGTAAATTAAAAACTCCATTGAAAGCTGGAAAAACTGCTTGAAAGAAACTAAAGATAGACTTTCAAACCTTGAAAACAGGTTTGCAGCTTGCTATCAAAAAAGGATAGATCATTTAAAAATTACAAGGAACCAAGAAGTAACCATTCAAAGGGTACAAGATGATGCAAAGAAGCATAACGTAAGAATGCTAAATATGAGTGAAAAAACAGGCATCAACACAAATGAAATACAAAGGCTATTTACAGAAATAATTAGAGAAAACTTCCCAAACATACAATGGAAATGATATTCAGATAATTGAGGCATACAGACCCCAGCCAGCCATGACCAAAATAACTCTACATCCAGACATATAGTAATCAAGATCCCAGAAACTCATCACAAGAACAGGATATTAAAAGCTGTTAGTGAAAAGAAACATATCACCTGTAAAGGAAAACTCATCAGAATCACGACAGACTTCTCGATGCAAACTAACACATCAAGAAGAGCCTGGAGTGAAGTATGTCAATTTCAGAAAGAGAATAACTTCCAACTCAGATTAATTTACCCTGCAAAAATATCTTTCAAACCTAATGGAGAAACAAGAACTCCCATAACAAAGAACAACTGAAGGAATTCATGACCACCAAACCAACCCTACAAAAAAAAAAAAAAAAAAAACTGAGGGACATTCTAGAGAGGGAGGAAAAATAAAACATGGGTTCAGGAACAGTGTCAAAGGGGACTGACTCAGTGGGGCATCAGACAATGGAATGAAGGGGAAAAGTAGACAACCAACAGCAGGAAAACAGCATGGCAGAGATGAGGTGAGAAAACAATGCTCTATGTGACAAGGAACCAGAAAGAAGTAGCTTGCTCATCAGCTGTAGACTGGTTAGAAAGCCAAGACACTTTTATACAATGGAAAACTACTGAGCTATAAAGAAAGATAACCTTGTGGCTCTTGTAGGTAAATAGATACAACTTGAGAACATGCTCAGGGGTAAAAAGGTTCAGAATCACATAGGTGAATATCATATTACCTCCCTAGGATAAAAATTAAAGGAGTTGGTGGGATCCAAAATGTACAATATGTCCCATGAAAGTGAAAGGGAGGAATTGTCTAAAAAGGGAAGGCAGTGGCTATTGTTAATCTATTATCATGATTTGAAATCCACGTTGTTTTGGTTGTTCTGTTTAGTTTGGTTTTATTCCATTATAGTTTGTCTTACCATATTATGTTTGATGGCATGAACAGTTATTTCAAAGATAACAAAATATACTATGGTAATCATTTCTGATATCCTATTAGCTTGATTTGAACCCTGTATTGCTTTGTTATGAGTGTTTCTTTTTTAAATTCATTTATTAACTTGAGACAGAGTCTTGCCCAGTTTGGGCTGCATTTTGCAAACCCGTTTCCTAAGCTTCCCAGATAGCTGAAACTATGGACTTCTACTGATATAGGGGGATGACAAAGGATGTCCCTAGTTCATGTTCTCTAAAATCAAAGAATGAACTTTAGGAACAATGGAAGTTAAGAGTAGAAAATCTTTATTGAGAGAAAGAAAGCTTTTGTCTGAGGGAGACAGAAGGGGTCCCGGGTGGATTTGCCATGTTTTGACTGATTTTATTCTATTTTGTTTTGTTTGATTGTATCATGTTTGATGGTATAGGCAATGACGCTGAAGACAATAAGATGTAATATGATACCCATTGTGTTTTTACTATTATCTTCTTTTGAGGTGCTATACTATTTCCATTGTTTGTTTTATTCTGTACTATTCTTTTTGATTGTATTATGCCTGATGCAATTCTTTTGAAGATAGCAAGATGCATTATGGTAGCCATTGTTGATCTTCTTGCATTTTGTTTTTAAGTTATCTACCATGTTCATCCTTTTGTTTTGATTGACTCTTTTTTTTAAATTTGGCATTATTCCCTTAAAAATAATACAATGTTGTTTTCAAAAAAATAGAGCTAGCTTAGATAACTTAGAGGATCTGTGTAAAAAAATTAAAAATTTTCAGAAAAGGCTGGAGTGGTGGCTCAGTAGTAGAGTAAGTACTTGCATCATAAGTGTGAGACCTTGGGTTCAATGCCAAATAACATATAAATAAATAAGCCTATTTTGTTTTGACAAACTGGCACTTTTATTTAAAGACTTCAGAGAGTTAAAATATAAAAATCAGTTGAAGCTTTTTTCATTATAATGAAAACGCAGAAATGAAAAACTTAAAAGTACCATTTAAAATATCACCAACTATTCTAAGACTCACACAGGCATAAATATATGTAGGATTTGTATGACAAAGGTTAGAAATATTAATGTAAGAAATATAGTCCTAAATAAATATAGACATGAATTATGTTCATGTTTGGAAGATGTGGTATTGATAAAATGTCACTTCTTCCAAAACCGATGTACAATTCAATGAAACCTCAATGGAAATTCACCGGTGAAATAAACAATTATATACTTATATAAAGAGATAAAAAAAATCACAAAGGAAACAAAAGCTAAATATTTTGAAAAAGAAGGAAAAAGTGAAGAACTTGTACTACTTGACTTCACAAATTAACAACCATAGTAATAGTGAAAATCAAATATGTATTTTTTGGTATCAGAAATCGAATTCAGGATCCCACAGGCAGATGCTGTGCCACTCAGCCATGTGTGCAGCCCTGAGAATCAAATACTTGAGGAAGGATAGCTATATGTGTGCATGGAACAGAAGAATATATAATAATATACAGTTATTTATGCTGTAACACTTGTTTTAAAAATACACATTGGTCCCAATAATTATCCGAGCACAACATGAATTTCACATTTTGGTCTGCAAGAAACAATGGAAAAACACAGATCACAACACCTAGTTGAGTTTAGCAATGTAGAAATACATAAAAAGCACATGCACTCACTTTCAAATATCTATAAGTTTTCTTATTTCATCATGTTATAAATGACTAATCCTGTCTGTCATCAGTGTCACAGTTTTCTTTCTGATTTAGATAATCTACATTCATCTGTATCATTGTAATTAACAAATGAAAACCTTACCACACTACCTAAAAGCAAATTTCAGTTGCTTTTCAAAATAAGGAAATATTTATTATAGTTTCTATATATTTCTTAATATTTTAGAAAGTGTAAAACAGTGCTAACATTTTGTTTACTAAGTTGGTACCTTTTCTTACTGTATCACAGATCAAAAAATTTTTTGAATTTTTAGATTTTCCCCCAAAAGTTATTGTTTATACTGTTCTTTTGCATAGTATAGTAGTTAAGATCAATTATGTTACTCTATAACAGAATTGGCAGTGTATTATCAACTGATTTCTTCAAAAAGTGAAAAATAAATTTCTTGGGGAATGAGCACACTTTCCAATAAAGAGAACCAGGTAAAGCAGTATAAAGACATAGAAAAATCCACTCTCATCATGTTAGCAAGGATTAACTCTAAAGGGATCATATATCTATACAGTAAATTCAAAACTATGCAAATAACAGTAAAATATTTCTGATACTGACTTAAACAGGAATTTCTTTGACACATGGATGTCAATCAAAATAAAAATCTTAGCCAGGTACAGTGACATATGTCTATAATCCCAGCACTCTGGGAAGCTGATGTAGTAAGCCCAAGCAGGGCAACTTAGCAATTTAATGAAAACCAATCTCAAAATAAAAATAAATAAATAAACCAAGGCTGGAGATGCAACTCAGTGTGAAGGTCCTTGGTTCAATCTCCCATAATACTAAACACATGCACACATGCACACACACACACACACACACACACATGCACACATGCACACACACACACATGAACAAACACACACACGAACAAATACACACACATGAACAAACACACACACACATGAACAAACACACACACACACACACACACACACACACACACACACACGAACCTGATGTTTAAAAGATATGTCAAAAAAAAAAGAAAGAGAAGCTACAGATTAGAGAACTATTTTGCAAGTTACATGTGATAACTTGGTATAGTTATTAATGATCAAAAATCTTACCAAGTACTTCTCTAAATTAACACATGAAGAGATATTTAGTATCATTATTTTAAGAGAAATAAAATTATACCATAAGGAAATTGCACTACCTTTAGAATAGCTAAATAAAATATGCAGACAATTTCAGGAACTAGGGAGCATACAGAGCAACTGTAACTCTCATATATTATTTTTAGGTACACAAAAGTATGGAACCATTGGAACAAAGTGCAGAGAGTTTTCATTAAATTAAATGTGCACTTATATGAACAAGTAATATCCTGCTTAGGTATTTACTCAAGAGAAATAAAAATAC